AAAAAACCCTCTCATTTTACAATTTTTTTAGAAAAAAAAAACGACTATTTGACTATTTGGCTATTGTTTTCCATACAGGTCTTGTAACAAAATTGACAGATGATCAAAAATATGGAATGATTGAAGCAATTGCTCACCTAATTCATCGAGACTATGATGCTATTGTTAAAGATTTTGTGAAACTTGGTTTTATTCCAGAAGGGGTAAATTTGGATCCAATATTACCTGTTTTAGCCAAAGTATTTGATCAAGCCCTTGAAGGTGGAGGAGCAAAAAATATCAACTTTCAAGAATTAGCATCTGATTTAGCACAAATAACATTCGATTATCCATTTCGCATTCCTCCTTATTTTGCTCTTATAATTAGAGCAATTGGAGTTCTTGAGGGTATTGCTTTAGTAGGGGATCCAGAATTCGCCATTGTTGATGAAGCATATCCTTATATTGCACAGGTATTATTTTAAATTTTTTGCATTTTTCATTATTTGATATTTAGGCTGTGTTTTGGCATGTCACAACTAGCTGATTAACTGGCTTATAAGCTAGCTTTTTAGGAGCTTTTTGAAAATTTTCCAAATATACCCCTAGTTAGTTATAAAAACATAATATTCTAAATGCCCTTTTATGTCATTTTATATCTTTCGGCTAGTTTTTATCAAACGTCATTTTTTGTCGGCTACCTTCTATTTTAGAAGTTTTTTGAAATTTTCCAAATATACCCTTAATTATCTATAAAAAAAACATGTTATTCTAAATGCCCTTTTATGTCATTTTATATCTTTCAGCTAGTTTTTATCAAACGTCATTTTTTGTTAGGTACCTTATAAGCTAGCAGCTAACTTTTTAGCTACCAGCTAGCTTTTCAGCTTAATCTAGTGTTCTAATGTGCATACCTTTTTTTTAATATAATTTAAGCATTTTACTAGAAAAACATTTATATTTTTGGCAATTTATGGTTTAATCATTTATATTTCATTCTTTATTCCAATCAAACAATAAAGTTTGACATTTCTAAAATTAACCAATCTGACATGTGGTCAAAATGGTTGATTTGGAAAGTTACTGGTGAAAACCTGACACAATTACATGATATATAATAATATAACTAGTTAAAATGGTTAATTTGGAAAAATATGATTAAATTTGAAAATTACATGTTTCATCTGACATAACAAAATTATCAGTGTAAACTGATATAAAAAAGTCAAAATGGGTGATTTGAAAAAAATATATATATTTGAAATTTCTATCTTTTGGTTGGATAAAAAATATAGAGTTACTGGTTAAACTAAAAAACTATTTTTTGTGATTTGCCTTATTTATTATAATCTCTATTCTCTCCTTGTATTTCAAAAAAGTGTTCTATAAGAAAGAAATTGAAAGTATAACACGCAAATAAATGTAATTTCTTCTAATATCTATTAGAGTAAATTGCAAATTTGGTCCTTGTATTTAGCGGTTTTGTTTCGTTTAGGTCCAAAACATAATCTTTTTTCACTTGCTCTGTTAAACATTTGTAAAAAGACTATTTTTCCCTCTAGTAGATATTTTTTATCAACTTCTATAACGACTTATTATTATTATTGTTGACTTGTAAACAAATTGACTTTTTTTTTTTGGTATTTTGTAATGTCAGAGGCTACTTACTGATGAATCACCACGTTTAAGGAGTGCTTTGCGATACACTGTATATGGAAAAGCTGGAGTTTTTGATGCTGAAAGATTTATTGATGTGATGCAAGCTTTTGAGAGTTTTATAACAGCTGCCAAAAGTGGTGGAGGGGAGGATCTAAATGGTGACATGGCAGAACTTGGACTCCTACAAAATCAGACAAATTTCACATTCCCAAGGTTTCAATCAGCTGCATCTCAGGAACAACAACCTATTCAAACACGAGCAGCTTTAGCATTTCTATTATCCGACAAAGGGAATTTCTTCCGAGAATTCCTCTTAGATGAGGTACTAACATGTTTTGGTCATCTCTATTAAAAGACCAAAATACCCTTGAAATAAATAAAAGAGAAATCTCCAATAAAGTCCCAATATTTTGGGTCAGTTTACGCTTTAATCCCAATTTAAATTTTATTTACAAAAAAGGACAGATTACCAGAATAACCCTTTTTGGCCAGTTAAGCAGATTTAGCCAGTATTCTGTCTTTTTTTCGTTAATTGATCAAAATATTGGGATTTTTTTGAAGATTACGTTATTTTTTATCAATAACCAAAATATTACGTTATTTTTTTACCTTTGAACTAATGTATATTATTACGTTATTTTTTACCAGTAACCGAAATATTGAGATCAAGAAAAGTCTCAATATTTTGGTTATTGGTAAAAAAGGGTTTTATGCAGAAGAAGTCCCATTATTTTGGGAAATTTTTTAAAATAGTTCTAAAAGTTTTATTTTAAACAGAAAAGTCCCGATTATATTAACATTTTGCCCAAATTAATGAAAAAAGTCTTTTTATATTTTTAACAGGAACTGACAGATTTAAATGATTTTTCCAAAATAATACGACTTTTCTATTAAAAAAAAAAAACTTTTAGGACTTTATCAAAAATTTTCCTAATATAATGAGACTTTTCTGCATAAAACCCTAGTAAAAAATAACGTAATAATATAACATTAGTTCAAAGGTAAAAAATAACATAATCTTTAGAAAAGTCTCAATATTTTGGTTATTGGTAAAAAAATAACGTAATCTTCAGAAAAGTCCTAATGTTTTGACCAATTAACGAAAAAAGACAAGATACTGGCTAAATTTGCAAAACCGGTCAAAAAGGGTTATTCCGAAGTTTTAGCTAGTAATCTGTCTTTTTTTTAAAAAAAAAATTAATTTGGGATTAAACTATATACTGACGCAAAATATTGGGGCTTTATTGGAGATTTCCCTAAATAAACTAAAAAAAACTTGTGTTTTGTTGTAAACAGATAGTGAAAGGCATTGATGCTGTTACTAGAGAGCAATTGGTCCAAGTCATGTCAGTATTAGGACTCCAAAATCCCACCCCAATTTTCAGCATGGTTCCTACCTTTGTAAACATCAGGCCAACTGGCTTAATTCCTTATATAACAGAAGAGGACAAAATCATACTCAACAATGTTCAAAAAATCATTGAATTCCTAACCTCTTCAGATTCAAGACCTCGATCATCTGATCAGGTATGTATTCAATTAATGTCATGCATATCATGTCATGTATAACAAACAATAATTATTTGTCTTTTGTGTTTGATTTATGTACACAGGGTTTAGATGTGAATCGTATAATTCAAGAGCTTATTCCAATAATGCCTGGCTTATCAGCCAAAGTGCTACCAGAAGTGCTAACCAGGCTATCTTCTAGAGTTATGGCGCGTTTGATTCGGGATACGTTTTTGTAAATAAAGTCCACCAACATGGCCCACTGAAATACGTGCATATATACATATAGGAATTGTTTGTGAAACTTGTATAAGTTGATACCTGAGATCGATTTCTTTGCAAGTTGTATACAAAAGTCGACTCGGAAAATGGATAGATGTAAAGTAAGAAAAAAGAAAAGTAGAAGAGAGATGAAGTACTTTTTCTAGTCCTCTATCTGTAATACAACACATTCTAATGTGTAAATTTATTCAAAAATCCTTTTCCAAGAACGAAAGGCCTCATAAGTCTCCTACTCAAAACTCAAAACATTTTCTTTAACTTCTTAGAAAACATGGATTCAAACTATGTTTGTGTCAAACACATACACATACAGTTATTAAAAATTGAACAGTTTAGGTCATTTTTGGTCACTTAACTTTTAGTTTTGTGTTCATTTGGTCACTTAACTCTTTTTAAGTTTTAAAAGGTCATCAAACTTTTGACTTTATGATCATTTAGTCACTTAACTTTTGGTTTGGTCACTTAACTTTTATATTTGTGCTCAAACTTTTAAAAAAATTTAAAAGTTTAGTGACTAAATGAGGACAATTTTAAAAGTTAGGTGACTAAATGTGACCAAATCAAAAGTTAAGTGACTAAATGAGCACAAAGCCAACACTTTGATGACCTTTTAAAACTTAAAAAGAGTTAAGTGACCAAATGAACACAAAACCAAAAGTTAAGTGACCAAAAATGACCTAAACATTTAAATTAAAATGGCAGTTTAAGCTTTTCTGATGCATAAAAGATGATATTCCTTTTTTAATGACATACAAAACTTTTTCACTGCTGTCCCAAAATAAGCAAGGTATGTAATAAGTTATTATATTCCATGATCATATTTGGGTAACCCGTTGGAAAGAAATAATTTTTTATATAAATTTCTTATGTTATATGTAATACAAAGTATGGTTTTAGCATTGTTCTATATATTATTTAATTATAATTAGAGAATTTATTTACAAAACTAAAGAATTGAACATCACAAAATAGAATGCTTTATCCCAATAGAATTTTCTTTTTTGTCACACAAATAATTCGGACTGACAATACACATTGCGAATAGCCCTAACATAGTTCCATGAGACCCTTAAAGCCTCTAGTGTCCCACATATCGACTCATGTTTCAAAGTCCATAAACACCATGTGGAGATGCTTAATCCTTTCTATATATTTCTACATAAGGCGTCTATATTTCTCCATAAGGAGGTGGTTATAGAGACTTCCCATGCCATGAAGTAGAATTCGTTTTAAGAAACTGTTGTTTCCTGTCTTACCCTACCCTCTAGCACTATTTCCTAGAGCTTCATATTAGTTTAATATATATATATATATATATATATATATATATATATATATATATATATATATATCTTTACTATTATATAAAGCATATTAGATGTTTCTTGAAAATTAAGAGGTACAATTATTATAAGACCATGTACAATCTTGTTAAGCTAAATATATACACACACATCTGCTTTGTAACTCCTTACGTGGGAAACCCTAAACTCCTATAACAGCTTCTTCCGCCATTACCACCATCGCCACCCAGCATCACCACTTAATCCTAAATCCGTTCTCATCCAACTTTTATATCTTAAAACCTAGACCTAGATACCACGAACAACCATATGCCTCCGTCACCATCGTTTTCCGCCTTCCCCACCTTTATCGATCTATTGCGTCACCATCTCCTTCGTTAGACACTACCTTCGAAAATCAATGATGCCGCCAACACTTTCACCACTGGTTTGTAGAGTATCTCTCATAAACCCTTTTTTTTTGTTACATCATCAAATGAACAAGATCCTAAACTGGTAAGCATCTTCCAATTTATTTCGCTTTTGATTTCTCATATATCTTATTTTCCATATTTCTCCGGTTCAGTCATTTTGTATGATACTTATTTATGCTTCCTTATAGATATCTCTTTTGTTGAATAATAGCTTTCTGAGTGAAAATTTATCTGATTCTTTTGCTCGGTGTCGTTCTCAAATCTTTAGTTGCACCACCGTCTTTCTCTCTTTCACCCTCTTTGTCTCTCGCTAAAAACTACTCCATCTCTTTCTCTCATTCCCTTTTGTCTCTCTAATAAAGGGCCTAAATCTATGTGTGTTTATGGTTGTTGTAGAATGGCAGGAACATGAAATAAAGGACCCAACAAACGAAGCCTTATGGAAGTCCATCACTAGAGGTCAGTTTTTGTCAGTAATCTTCTTTTTTCTTCAATGTTATTGATATGTGTTTGGATATTTTAATACTAATTTCTCTATTCCTGTGTATAAACAAGCTAATGGTTCAAGAAACAACAACAAATGTATATACTTTCCTTTTTTTTCTTAGCGAGTGTGTATCTTAAAGTTTTGGGGGTATTGATTTATTCAAGTTTACCATTATATGTTTTTGAGTTCTGAGTTCTTCCTCTCTGCTTCTGATTTTTGAATTAAAAAAACTTAAATAAATATTTTGGGTTTCTAATATAGTGATTTTACTTGTTAATTTTCTTGAATTATAAGTTTTATGATTTATAATATTATGATCCTGAAGAACAGGACCTATGAAGCTTTTTATTCTGATCCAAGAACTAAAGTTCGAGAGTACTCAGGTAATTTTCTGATTGTGTAAAGGTTTAACTTCTTTCCAGAAGGTGTCAACGAGTTTGTTTGTATAGGTTCAATTGTATAGATTTCTTCATTTTATACTTCTCATTGACGATTTTTATTCCATTGTTTGTCTGACTTTTAACAGATAAATGAGAAGAAGGGTTTTCTTTTTATTCAGAAATTTTTCTTCCTTGATAGTTTCAGGTATATGGTTCTTCATCTCGAATCTATCTTGACTTTTTTTGTTGATATCTTAAATCTTAGTGTAATTTTATATATGAAGATTAAGTTGATCTATGATTTTGTTTCTATATGTTTGTGTTTAGTCTGAACTAAAAGAGTTTGTTTCATGATTTAAAGGGGATAAGAAGAAAGCCAATTAACCAATAAATGTGAGTGGTTAGAGGAAAAGGAATGGTTAAACTGCAAAGAATGGTAACAAAATTTAGTTATTATTAATTGTTCTAATTGGTAGGGAGTTTTTTTGTTTTTGATCAAATGTTTTTAATGTTCTCTCAAGGAAGTTTTTTGTAATTGATCGATTGGGTGTAATTCATTTGCAAGTTTATTAGTATATTTTTTTTATAAAGATTTTAAGGTTGAGAGTTTAATTTATTGGGAATTTATTCTTTACCATTTTGAGAAGCTACACAATTGCATTGCTATAACAAAGATGTTCAAGCCATTCTTTATTCATCGAAGGAAGATGTTTGCTATTTTATTGTTAACCAAAACATAACTTTCTATCTCATCAGTTAACATTTGTTACTTGGTAACTCAAGATTGTTAACTGACTCAATATTTTTTTAAAGGGTTTTTTCTATAAATTTATTAGATGAGTGATTATGCATAACTTTGCGTTAAAAAAGATTAAATCACCGAAACTATCTTGTTGTATGCAAAAAGTTTTAAATTTAGTCCATATGTTTCTATGCAAAAAAGAAAAAATCAGTCAAAAATCATACATTTTAACATACCTAAGGGACCATTTATGTAAATTACTTATTTACAAGTTTCTACAACTTAAATTAGTATAAATAAAGGAGCTACTAAAATTCAAAGAAATATGTCAAAGTCTTTATTATCACTTCTCTCTTGTTTAAATCTTGAAAGAAAAGTTAGACGCATGATGTCGTTTGTGACTCGCTAGAGATATTGTTAAAACTTAAGAAATGATTTGAATAATTTGTTTGAATGATTATGATTTTAGTGTTATCAAGTATTATAGAAGCGTGGTGAATATTTTCTTTTCAAAATCTGATCTTCAAAGTTTTAAAGATATTTAAAATCCCAAATTCTCCAAATTATTTAGTAACAAATTTATATCGACAATACTTGAATAACAAATTTAAATTATTTTGTATCAAAAAACTCGATGACATATTAAAATAATTTGCTATATATCATTTTTCAAATATAAAACCAAGATAATGATTTTGAGTTGAATCAATCATCTTTTATCATATCATACAAAAAGATTCATATAAAAATATACGTTTAAACTGACTCGTAAGAAATACAAATATCCACTTTAATAATATTTGCCACATATTGTAAAAATATTTTTCCTTATGACAAAACCTTTTTTTTTAACCGGCAAATATAATATATAATCTACTTCTAAACTAACACTTAAATCCACATACGTCTAAGACGGGACTAGAACCCTCCCTTATGACAAAACCACCATCGGTTTCGCAATACTCACTACAAAATTCATTGTTTGCTATAAAATTATTCTATTATTAAAGACATATTTTACCTTTTCTTATTTTTACATATAATTTCTTTTGTAAAATCATATTAACCTAAAACTTTACTTTTATATTATTCCTTAAGTTAATATTTTAAATTTAAAATTTCTAAAATTTGATCATCGAAAATAACTGTAAACAACAAGAAAATTCTTCGTCGTTCGCCGCGGTGAAACTAATCGCCGAAACGAAACTATTTACAACTATTATTCGCTGCCGCAGCTTTGCACGGGTACACCACTAGTATATATATAAAGCATATTGAACATTTCTTGAAATTTAAAAACACAATACATCATATACAATCATGTTATGCTTATAATCCTAAACGTATCCATTTAATTAAATTAAATAAAAAAAAAACTGAATATACCAATAAAACAGCACAGAAACCCTAATTGGATGCTCCTCTTGTCTCCCACACCACCATCGTCCCAGCAATGTAGCATCATCCACTCTCCAGACTCGCAACACCCGCCGTCCGCACCATCTCTTTTCCTTCGCACCAATTTTCCGGCGACAAACCCCCACCGTGATCCATCTCTGCCTCTCTCTCTACCCTAACTTACTATCTAATGCAAGATGGTGGTGTTGCTATTGCGATATTTACCATCAGTTTATGCATATGAATTCTTATCCAATGGTGATTTAAAGGATTGATAGTTGAATACCAAACTCCCCTTATTCTCGGCCCCTATCTCTACCATCTCCTCCTATATTTTACTATGATGTGCTCCAATTCAAAAAACCTGATCGCACTTCACCACCATCACCACCACTCCAAAACCCTAGATGTGTGTATATTTCGATTCAGGTTATGTTGAGCATGGTTATATTGTCGATTTAGGTATTTTCGAGTAAGGTTATGTT